ATCAAAAAAAAAAAAAAGAAGAAAAAAAAAAAGAGCCCGAGGAGATATAACCAAACAGAATATTGAAAATTTGAATACTAGTTAGAAAAAGGCATTATAAAAGACATTCTGGGGTCAAATGAAGACATCTGGAAAAAAGTAGCTGTGAGGTATTAATTAACCTTGTTTTGGATGTGATAATGCTATATGGTTCTGTAAGGAAAGACCTCATTCGTGGGCATGCTGAAATATTTAGGGGGAAGAGTCTGGGTGCCTGTAACTTTCAAGTGCTCAAACGTATGTGTGCACCTAGAGGGATACGGAGAGGTAAAGGAAATACAGCAAAATGTGTATTTGTGTTTTCATTCCACAAACTTGAGAAAAACAGTAAGTATAGCAGGTATGTTACTGATTCTACTAAAAAACAGAGGAAAGAGATTAATCCACTCGGCAAAGACTTGGCCACAGATGAAATCCTAACAAGACTGCCTCTGGGAAAAACTCAGGATTGGACCAGCAGATGGTATAACGGTTACGTCACTGGACTCCCACAGAGTCGATGGTGGTTCAAGTCCAGGACCTGGCAGCTTAAAACTCATGCCAGGTGTGTGTGCATGCATGCCTAAGATCCTGAGAGAAGAATGGAGAAGGGATTGGGGTATGGCTATCCCCCCAGGGGGTGATTTCTCGCTTTCTGTATCTCTAGGCAAGCGCACGTGCCCTATAGCAAAAATCTCTCTTAATAACAAAACAAAACAAAAAAACAGGATTAGGGAAGAGGCTTCGTGTTTCTTCCCATCTTTTCTACTCTTCAAGAAGATGTTTCCCTATCAATTCCACCTCCCTCCACCCCCAAAAAGGGCACAGTGAGAAGCTTCTGACCCTCCTGCCTTCTCCCACAGCACTGAGACTGGGTGCGCCCACACTCCCTGGGGGGTTGTCTGGGATAAGCTGTGACAGTGAGTTGGTGAACAAATGGTGGGCGTGTCTCCTCACAGTTCAAGCCTAGGGACTCTGCAGACCATCACCAGAAGATGGGAGGAAGGCCGATTCCCCTGCACCGGAGTGGCAGTCTGTTGTCCCCTTGGTTAGCCATTCCCCCGGAAGCAGCAACACGCTCCAGCTCTGAGGTCTAAGACCACTCCCGAGCCAAGCTCCCAGTGAATGAGGAGGCCCCCTGCTTGCGGTAAATGCTTATCTCTGACTTGGAAAGGAAGATGTGTTTTCTGCCCTTTGACTCCAACACCTAAACCATCCTCTCAGGGCCTGCTGCTCTGAGCGGGTGTTAGCCACCCTCCTGGCCCCCCCAGTCCAGGTAACAGCAATGGGCTCTGTCAGCAAAACCCCCAAGGAGCTGCCCACACGCTACCGTGACGGCATAGTTATTCTCGTCGGGCTGGATGATCTTCAGGTCCAGGACGAGCTCGGCCAGCACCAGGAGGGCATCCAGGACAACTAGGCAGATGATGATGACCTGCAGGGTAGAGAGGAGCAAGACCATGAGCCCTCTGTCTGTCATGCTGGCGTGGAGACATCTGGGTAAAACCATTGAGTCGAGGTGCCAAGGACAGGAGGCCACTGCCAACAGCCAGAGCACCCTGCAGGGAGCCCTGTGTGACCAGAGCCGCCCCTTCCTGATGCCCTCCAGGCCTGCTTCAGCTCTGGGTGGTGCCTGCCTTTCCTGTCTGCCTGAAGTACCTCTGTGCGGCTCACATCCTGACCCTCAATCACTGCTAGTCCTTTTCTTACCTGTTCACTATTTCTTAAGTACCATCTCTCAAACCAAACTGCCGCTTCCTGGATGGCAAAAAAAAATGAATAGTAATTTTGGAAAAGTTGTTCTTTTTTCCATTTCCAGGGACTGATGGTGTTGGTACACACATGAAATAGATGCTCAATCCAGAACTCAACACAGAGATGTGAGCGCTGGAAGGGGCGTCCAGGGACTGCTCACTTCAGGCAACTGGGTGTCTGCAATGTCTACTGAGCCTGCAGACAAGCCTCTGCCCAGGCACGCACACAGTGCTCACCCAACTCACACGTGCTAGTCAGGGTGGAGGGGAGTGGCGCCCTGGGTCTCCTGTGGGAAGACCGGCTGGAGGAGGACGGGTGAGCAGTCACGCTGACAGTAAAGGTGGGGAGCAGTGGGTGGTGGTGGGTGGTCATGGTAATGGGTTGGGATGCTGTGGGAGGGCACTGAGGGTAGGGGACCACGGCGGTGGAAGTGGCGGCAGTCAGAGCCTCAGAGGACTTTGCATGACCCATCTCTCTTCCCCTGACAATTCATGCCTGTCCCCGGGACCTTCCTCACCTCTCACGCTCTCAGATCAGTGGATTCTGACCTCTGAATCTGCCATTATCTTGGCAACTTCTGTCGTTTCCACCGAGATGAAACAAGCTCAGGTGTATGCAAGAACAGACCATTAGAACCTTTCGACCCTTCCAACCTGTAGCTAATAATTTCAGTAATGAAAGCATCTGACGGTGCGGCTTGACGACACGGCAAACTGCACGGCGTGTTGTGTGTGAGGAAGTTTCACACATACCCAACTCAGCAGCGTGCCGAGCCGGGCCGCCGGTGGGGCTTGCTCGTTTGTGTCTCACCCTTAGCTTTACTGCACAGCTAAAGGGGCCTGAGAGCGCACAGGGTCTGAAACGGAGGCGCGACGGGACGGACAGACCCGGTTTCAGCCATCGAGGGGCTGAAGTGAGTGGCTGGCTCCTGTGTGTGGAAACCTCGGAAATGTCGTGCCGAGTGTGAGAAGCGGGACACACGAGGCCACACATCATGTGATTCCATTTCTGTGAAATACCCAGGACAGGTCAGTCCAGGGAGACCAAGGACAGACGGGGGGCTGCCAAGGACGGGGCGAGGCGGGCACGGAGAGTGACAGCTTAATGGAAACGGACCCTCTCTGTGGGGCAAAGGAAGTGTTCTGGAACTAGACAGTCTTGAGGGCCACAGGGTTATTTACTTCAAAATGATTCATTTTATGCTAAGCGAGGCTTATCTCAATTAAAGCAAAAACAAAACAAGAATGAGGACAGACCCCAGGTCATCAACCATGCTGCATGCACCCAGCCCTCAGGCCCTGAGTGTCCCAGTTCAGAGGCTGGTTCGGAGGGGGGGCACCACGCCCGGAAAAA